TTTGGCTGCTGGCCTGCTTCCCATGTAGGTTTCAGCAGTGGTGATGGCTGTTGCTTTTGGTGGTGGTGATGCTGATGTTTCCCAGGAGTATGATTTTGCTCCAAGTTAAAAGTTTTATCACTGTGCATTTTTGCACCCTCAGTTTCAAAACCAGCAGAGCACTTCCCAGTCCTCTCTAACTTCGACTTCTCTACCTACTGGCCTATCCTCAGAGTAATGGTGACCCTTATTTATTATTAGTCTGTTTAGATTTTCCATTTCTTTATGATTTGTTTTTGGCATGTTGTATGCGTCTGGAAGTTTATCCACTTCTAGGTAATCCAGTTTGTTGGCATAATAATTCTTCCTAATAGTCTCTCATGATCCTTTGTATTTCTGTGGTATCAAAAGATTGTTTTCTGCCTTCCTGACTTCTTTTCCACCTGTCTCCCTTCCTTCCTGAGTAATTCAGGACAAAAGCCATTTGCTTGTCGTGTGCAAAATGCAGGAAGATGTTACCACAGGGGGTAGTGGTAGTGGCCTAGAGTGGGATGACCATGTGGAGCTGAGGAGAACACCTGAGGGCAGCAGTGAGGGGACTGTGAATAATGAGGCAGTGATTGATTGGTTATTTTTGAGGAGGACTGAGGTTAATAGAGACCAGATTTCTTTTTTCTTTCTTTCTTTTTTTTTTTTTTTGTGTGTGTGTGTGTATGTGTGCCCAAGATTTATTTGTTCATTTCTTGCATTTGAAGTACTCTTCAATGACACCCCTTGCCATAGTCCCTAACTACTACACAACTGCAACCAGCCACTTTACAGTTTCCCCTCTCTGTCAGTTTTACAGAGGCCTGTCCATTCCCTAGTTTCTTGTTCATCAACCTTAATTAGGTTGATTTGGTGTTCAGCACAAAGGGGTTCCACCAATTTGAAATAGATAGGCTCATCACAGTTGGATGCAAGCACACACAGCACACAAAGATGGGCTTGGCACTTGTCTAAGGCTTTGGCAGCTTCGCGAATTCCACATGCCAGGCCATTGTGGATGAGGGCGGTCTTCAGCACCTCCTGTAAAGCAGTATTAACGTCCATTACAACTCCAGCAGCACTGCCTTCCTCAGTCATGGCTGTGGGTTATGGGTGAAGCCAAATCTTGAATACACCTGAGACTCCACCTCTGCACAACTCGGTGGTAGCAGGTAAAGAGCAGGAGCCAGATTTCTTAGAGTCAGAGAAAAGAATTACAAATTTAGGAAGGGTGAAAACTAGAATAAGGTTGGAATTGGAAGTACTGGTATAAATTCTTATAGTTTTCAGTATCTGTAGATACAGAGATGTATAGGTTTGCATGTATGTGTGTGTGTGCATGTGTTTGTGTTTATTCCCTAGCTCTGTTCCATGACAGGGCTTGGAAGCAACAATGGCACAAAACTATCAGCACACCTACTGCCCAGATCTTGGTTTCTAAATACCATTTTCTGCTAAAAGAGACAAGATCTTAGAGAAAAAACCCATCCCAGGGTTAGTGCAGAGGAAACACAAAGATGAGCAGGGAATGTCCTTTTGTTTAGAAAGTAAGAACATGCTCAAAGAATGATGGGGACATGTCAAAAGAACAGAGGAGCTAGCTTGAAGGGGCTCTTACTGGCCAAATCAACAAATTACAACTTATAAGCCACAAGTCCACATGATATAAATCAATGAATAAATTGGAGAGAAGGGAAAGCTCTACCTTTTAGGGGAATGCCAACCAAAAAATGTAAAAGGAATGATGGAATTAGAAAATTTGTATTTGGCAATCATTTGGTACTGATTCAGGTGAAAATATTCAATAGATCCTAAAACTAGTGAGTGAAAGTTGTATGATCTCTCTACAAGATACTTATTAATTACAAAGGGAAAAAAGAAAAACTATAAAGGTGGAGAAGCCTAGGTGGATAATACCTTAATCAATTGATCAAAGCCCCAACCAGCTACTGGACAAATCAAAACTGTTTGACACTTGGTAAGATGCAAGAAGAAGACAATCTTTCTTTTGTGGTGTTCTTGCCAAAAATGTACAATCTGAATCTAATAAAAAGGAAACATCAGGCAAACCCAAATTGAGGAAGAGTCTACAAAAAAACTGACCTGAAATCTTCAAAAATGTTAAAGTAATTAAAGTCAAGGAAAGACAAACTTTTAAGAGTGCTGGAGACTAAAGAGATGTAATTAAAAGCAATGTGAGCACTTGACTATGAAGGACATTGATGGGACAACTGGCAACTGGAACAGGGTCTGTGGGTTACTTAGATGGTAATATATCAGTGTTAATTTCCTGATTTTGATCACTGTGTTGTGGTTAAGTAAAAGAATGCCAGAAATTACACACTGAAGCCTTTAAGATCATGAGGCATCACTGGCTCCATGGTTCAGGGGAAAAGATTCTTTGTACTTTTCTTGCAACCTTTCCTGTAAGTTTGGAATTATTTCAAAATTTAAAATTTTAAAATAGAATCATAAAAGTATTTTTCATAATAAACAAGGGTAGCCGTTTTAAAAGCTCAGAAAAGCTGATTTCAAAGTTCATTCTCTTATGCAGACTTAAAAATAAAAGAATAGCTCCAAGAGAAAAGATCTGCCAAGTAAGATGTTTTTCTCTTACAAAATGGAAATTTAACTTCTAAATTTACTTCACATAACTTGCAAATGTAAGCAGTTATCTTACTTGGGAATTTTTCATTTAACCAACTTCGTTTTCTCTTGACTTTTCCAGGTATTCAGAGTTGATGTTTTTTCTAAAATAAACCATAGACTATATTTGGGACAAAGTGATACTAAGAAGTACAAAAGGCTTTTTCTCTAAGTGTTATGAAAAAGACTTCAAATTTAAATAAAGCTTACAAAGAAATCATAAAACTAATTTTAACCCCAGAACCTAAAGTGCAATTTTAAATTCCTTTTATATAGGCAAAAGGAAACTATAGTATTCTCACTACTTAATATTCCCAGTTCCGCCTAAAACAAAGACATAAATTAATTTTTAACAATCATTGTCTCAAAATTCTATGAACATTTGGAATAAGTATTTACAACTCTCAAGCCTGTAATCCCAGCACTTTGGGAGGCCGAGGCAGGGTGGATCACGAGGTCAAGAGACCGAGACCATCCTGGTCAACATGGTGAAACCCCGTCGCTACTAAAAATACAATAAATTAGCTGGGCATGGTGGCATGTGCCTGTAATCCCAGCTACTCAGGAGGCTGAGGCAGGAGAATTGCCTGAACTCAGGAGGCAGAGGTTGCGGTGAGCCCAGATTGCACCATTGCACTCCAGCCTGGGTAACAAGAGCGAAACTACGTCTCAAAAAAAAAAAAGTATTTACAACTAATGCTTACTCTTTGCTTGAAATTTTTTATAATCTCAGGAATAGAAATTTAAGAAATAGAAGTCTTCTCATTTCACTTTGCTAAGAACGTTCTTAATTCTTACATATTGCAGGTCCACTGGATTCAAAGCTAAGCCAAAAATACCATGCAAAAGACTGCCTCCTAAATTATTTAAATCTCTTTTGTAGCAAACTTTTCCCAGAAACAGAAACATCCATACAGAAATTCTTACCTTTTTATCAAAAGTTTATTTGTTATCCTTTTCTCATTTTCTGGCATTGAAAATAGGTGAAAAAATTATTTGCTGTTATTTGCATATCAAATACATGGTTTCAATGTGGTCGGCTGACTCCTTTGTGTTCATTAAAACCATTTTCCTCATATCTAAAGTGAATCTTGATATCTGTGATTTATGTTTAATATAGAGATGGGAAATGGTGAGTAATCTAACGTTAGTCAAGTCTCATGTATTCTTAAAAAAAAAAAAGCTCAAATAGTTGAATTAGGGTGATGAAGTTATACTCAAATCTGAAATTGTAATGAGGCTCCTTTCTGAAACTTAATGACCCATTCATTTTCTTTAGGTTTAGTTTATTTAATGTTTTTCCCCTTCATAATACCAACTGAGGTTTAACTCAATAACAAATGGTAACTATATAAGATTGTATGAAATAGTCTTGGGCTATTTTTTGGGAAGCTCTTTGATTTGGTATCTACATTCCAAAAGTCAATTCTCATTATTACATGAATTTAAATGGCATTCATAGCTGCCCCCTTTACACAAACAGGTGCTCAATAATAGGGCTTATTAGAAAGACACTGGAGACCAGGCTGGGCATGGTGGCTCACACCTGTAACCCCAGCACTTTGGGAGGTCGAGGTGGGCAGATCACTTGAGGTTGGGAGTTCGAGACCAGCCTGACCAACATAGAGAAACCCTGTCCCTGCTAAAAAATACAAAATTAGCCAGGCATGGTGGTGCATCCCTGTAATCCTAGCTACTCGGAGGCTGAGGCAGGAGAATCACTTCAACTGGGAGGCAGAGGTTGCAGTGAGCCAAGATCGTGCCATTGCACTACAGCCTGGGCAACAAGAGCAAAATTCTATTTAAAAAAAAGAGACCCTAGAGACCAAGAAACTTCCATTCCTTCCATTCTAGTCCTAGATATGGAAGTAGCTAACAATTTTGGACAAGTCATTTAACTTCTAGTCTTTGGTTTCCATACTTATAAAATGGAGACAATATCCTATCTACTTTAATAAGGTATTATTAAAATGTTTATAATTGGATAATATATTGAAGCATTCTGAAATAATATCAGTTTATCTTTGTTTAGCAATCTCAATTTTTCAAATTCTTCATCCTGGGATTGGAGTTATTAAAGGCACTTGTTTCTCTTTATTTAAAAGATTTATGAAAGGCTCCTACCATGCCATGCCTGTTCCTATGGTTTCCCTTTCCCTCCACAGGAAAAATGTAGTGACAATTTCAGATTGTCAAAAGAGTAACTGTTGAAGTCGTTAAGATTTGTGACAAATCACAGCCAAAAGTACTTCATTGGTAATAGCTTGTTTGAGGCTTCCAGGGAAAAATAATAATGTCAGATTTGCATTTGCTGTCTTAGAATATTATAGGATATTATGCTGCATAAATCTAGATATAACTTTTATTGAGATAATTTAAAAAAAAATAGAACATGATTTTAAAGGTGGTATGTCTCTTGTGGAGGGAAATCTTGCTGAAATTTTACAGCTTCTTAGGTTAACAGAGAATGTGTCCTGTTTGTGTACCTCTCTAAATGAAAGAATTAAGGAGAATTATTTCATTATTTATAGTTTGGTTTGTGGGGGTGAGAGAGGGAATGAGAAAAATCCTAAGACATCCTTGGAACAATTTAACACAAAATATACACATATATAGATCCTGAGATGTTACAACAAATTAAAAAATATATGGATCAACATGATCCAAATGGTTTCCAAGACACCGTTATAGTAGGTAACAGCCATTTTATGGCGTGTGCTCCATGGATGTCCACATCATGCCAGGAAAACCCTACTCTTTTTTTTTTTTTTTTGTCTCCAAATTTGAAAGTTAGTCTTCCAGAGCAGGTGGCCAGTCAACATCTACAGACTAGAAGGGAAAAAAGAAGTCATTAAAACAGATATTACTGTTGTGGTAAACAGTTGCTGGTAATGCTGTATAAATAGTTTTAATATAACGCAACCAAAGAAGTAGCATTTGAAGAAAAAAGCTATTGAATACCATAAATAAACACTCTCAAGTCTGTTCTAGGGATTCTTGGGCCTGAGGTCTTCTGAATTAATTGAGTAGCCAGTATTTGGCTACTCAGTTGGTTATTAACTTTTTGACTGATAAGAGAATACATTTAAATTTTTTAAATGGTATTCATGGGGCCACATTTGGTGGCTCATACCTTTAATCCCAGCACTTTGGGAGGCTGAGGTGGGCAGATCACTCAAGGTCAGGAGTTTGAACCAGCCTTGCCAACATGGTAAAACCCCGTTTCTACTAAAAATATAAAATTTAGCCGAGCATGGTGGCACACGCCTGTAGTCCCAGTTACTCAGGAGGCTGAGGCAGGAGAATAGCTTGAACCCAGGAGGCACAGGTTGCAAAAAGCCAAGATGGCACCACTGCACTCCTGAGACTCCATCTCAAAAAAAAAAGCTGGGGGAGTATTTATGGGTACAAGCAGCAAACAAATGCAAGTGGCTACACCAATTTTCCCTCAAAAGTCTTAGAAACTTTTATTATTCTGATCATTTTCATTCTCTCACCTTGCATTTAACAAATACTTAAGTAGTCTATAAGCCTATATAGTCTTGTTTGTAACATGGCAACTAAATGTGAAATAAATGATTATGAAAGATGACCTGGAACTAGAAAAGGATTAAAGATCTTTGTGCTTTATTTCTGTAGAATTTGTTTCTTTAAAATCCAGTTCAACTACCTCTACTTACCTTTATTTTGTTCTTCTAGAACGAAACCTTGACCTTTGAGTCAGAATGAAATTACAGTAAGCAGACTATTTTGTCTCCACATAAACACATACCAGGTCTACCAAAGGCTAGGGGATCTACTTTAAGAGAAAGTTAAAAAAAAAAAAAAAAAAAAAAAAAAAAAAAAAAAACACTGTATCTGTGGTTTTTATTGACATTTAAAGTTTAAAAGATGAAATTGTTTACTGAAAATGTTTTCATTAATCCATGAGTCACTTCACGTACTGGCCTCAAAAAAATTTTTATTAGAAAAGCTTAAATAGCTATTTGTGTGTGTGTTTTACGAATCTCAAGAAGACATTTTGATTCTGTTTCAGAATATAGCCACATACCAAACACCCAAATGTAAATTGGTTTTTTTTGTTTGTTTGTTTGTTTGTTTTTTGAGACGGAGTTTCGCTCTTGTTACCCAGGCTGGAGTGCAATGGCGCGATCTCGGCTCACTGCAACCTCCGCCTCCTGGGTTCAGGCAATTCTCCTGCCTCAGCCTCCTGAGTAGCTGGGATTACAGGCACGCACCACCATGCCCAGCTAATTTTTTGTATTTTTAGTAGAGACGGGGTTTTACCATGTTGACCAGGATGGTCTCGATCTCTTGACCTTGTGATCCACCCGCCTCGGCCTCCCAAAATGCTGGGATTACAGGCTTGAGCCACCGTGCCCGGCCCCCAAATGTAAATTAATGAGTGGCTTCTCAAGCTGAAAATAAAACATGAGTGATCACAATCTCTGTGTGTGTGTGTGTGTGTGTGTGTGTGTGTGTGTGTGTGTGTGTAGGGGAGGCACATTGTAGTGCTTAAAAAGCTCCACAGGTGACTTCAATGGGCAGTCAGGGTTGAGAAACACTGGCCTGTGGGTCTTTGACATTCCTAACTGTTCTGAGAATTAAGGTCAAAAAAGATGAATGCAGGCCTGGGTAACACGGTGAGACCCCATCTGTACCAAAAAAAAAAAAAAAAAAAAAAAAGCCAGGCATAGTGGCTCACATCTGTGGTTCCAGTTACTCAGGAGACTGAGACAGGAGGATCACTTGAGCCCAGGAGGTCAGGGTTGCAATGAGCCGTGATCGCACCACCGCACTCCAGCCTGGGTGACAGAGCAAAACCCTGTCTCAAAGAAAAAAGGCTGGATGTGGTGGCCCACGCCTGTAATCCCAGCACTTCAGGAGGCTGGGGTGGGTGGATCATAGAACCATTCTTACAGTTATTTTAGAATTTAACCTTGTTTCAATTCAGACTATAAGAGCAGAAAACTTGGACCACATCACAGGGGTCCTTACAGAATTCCTTTTATGAATAACCATTGGCTCACCTCACTTTCTACCCTTGTGAATAACTGTTTCTGAGTAGGCTGCTTTAAAGTCTTTATAAAAACACAACAGGTATGGGAATGAATTCTCTAGAGTCCAAAGGATATATGGAGAACACTTACAGTTTTATTTCCTTGCTTGGTTTAAGCATTTATAGATCTGATACTACATGTAAAGCACAGTTAGTAAGTTAGCTATATATTTGCAAGGAACATAAATGAGACCTCGCATTTAAAATAAAAATTCTGAAGACAGTCCCTCCCTTCAATACAATGTTTCTGTGAGATTTTCGCCATTCTCAAATACCTATGGAGGTGAGTAGTACTAAATGGCTTAATGCCAAAGAGCGTAACTTTGGCTGAATTCAATTTGCCAATGTGCATTCCACAATAAAATGGCTTACCTCAACATCCAGCTCCAGAATGTCTGCAGTCACATTCATCAAGGACCCAATGTTTGGCTTGGTTCTCCCAAAGTCTCCATGTACAAATTCTTTAATGTAGCTGGGGTTTGTTTAAGGAAAAAATGAAGATAGCATGCTGTATCAACTATTTGGTAGGATTTGACAGACAAAAATAATAATAAAACTGGAAATGTTATATAAGAGAGGTTACTTCTGAGCTCTGACTTGTATGTCTTAAGAACTAAGCTTTGGCAAGCTGGTTCCTGGCAGCCAACATCAGAACTGGGAAATGTGTTTACATCAAACTTACCAAAACCATTCCTTTCTTTTTTCTTTATAGCTCATCACCAAGTGCCAAGGTGTGGATGTGGATATTATAAATTAACTGTAGCTCAATGCTTTTATTAAAAAACAACTTTGCCACAATTTCTGTGTAATAATCTTGTTAGTTCTATTTTTTAATTATGGCAATTGGCACCTGCCAGATGGTAGGTTTCCACAGAGTCACACACAGAATGATCTCAGTGATGGCTTTCCTTGTAACATGACCCAGCAGCAATAGGCTGGAAGGAATAATAAGACTATTAGTTTAGTCTTAATGATGGCTCTTCGGAAGGATTATCAAAAGACCTACCATCTAGTTTGCTAACATGGTTAGCAAAAGAACTAAGTTAATTCTCTCTCTCTTTTTAAGGAGCAACTTTTTATTTCTCTCATAAGTCTTCAAATTTTGAAATCAATAACTAATTCTAGAATTTGTTTTTAAGATTAACATTCCTTACACAGGACTGTACTGCAGCTTTGACAATACTTATCTAAAAGATTTATTTTGGCCAGCATTCAGTAAAAATGCAGCATTATGTTCTGTTCTACAAACCAGCATTTAGTAGAAAATAATGGAACCTGAATAGAAAAGTAAATGTTTCCAGATGATGACAAATCTATATTATAATATGCTGATATTATATCCTCCTTTCTGAACGTTTTACTCACTCTACCTTTGCTAAATATTTTGACTCAAGCATAAGACATGTAAGTACCTCGTAAATGTCTTTTTTGCTAAACTCATAACTACCCAACAATTGTTATTCTTGTTCTCTCATTTTCTTTAAAGAATCCTCCCTCTGTGTAGCAATGATGAGGAGAAAAAACCAAATAGCCCCAGAATAACCAGTTAAAATGTCCAGAGAGGTTTTTTTTTTTTTGAGACGGAGTTCTGCTCTTGTTACCCAGGCTGGAGTGCAATGGCGCGATCTCGGCTCACCGCAACCTCCGCCTCCTGGGTTCAGGCAATTCTCCTGCCTCAGCCTCCTGAGTAGCTGGGATTACAGGCACGCGCCACCACGCCCAGCTAATTTTTTGTATTTTTAGTAGAGACGGGGTTTCACCATGTTGGCCAGGATGGTCTCGATCTCTGGACCTCGTGATCCACCCACCTCGGCCTCCCAAAGTGCTGGGATTACAGGCTTGAGCCACCGCGCCCGGCCCAGAGAGGTTCTTATTCATAACTAGAGGGACAAGGTTTAAGTCAAATAAGCTAGCTCAGTGCACCTGTCAATGTGAATATACAAGGTATATACAAAGTAAATTTAGTAAGTGAAAAATTCATATACTTTGGTATATAACCATGTGGCATCTAAAGTTTTAACAAATAGTCTTTCTTGATTAACACCTTAAGTACATGTAGATGGCTGGTTCTAAAACTGTTTTAATAGAATTGAAAAGACATCAAATTCTACAAAAGACATTTCTCTTTGGCCCACCAAAACTAAAGGCCAGAATTGGGTAAGAAGATTTTTAAAAATATATACATGATTTGAATTTCCATCCATAATATGCAAATATGCTCCAAACAACAAAGATACAAACATCTGTCCACTGGAGTCTAAATTTTAGAAGATTTTAAAAGTAGATAACCTATACTTGGCTTAGCTGAGTAAATCCAGGTCCTGAGGTGGGGCAGAGAAATAAGTGAACGCAGGCTGGTGGGGAAAGACAGGCAGATTAGTTGCAGCAATATAGGAAGAATGGTATTTGGTGATTAAAACTTGCTTTTTCCACCATATATATATATATATAGTGTGTCTCTGTGTGTGTGTACATATATATATATATATATATATATATATGCACACACAATAGTACATCATTAGTTCTATACCAGTTAGAAGGTATTTGTCACTTCATGCTATTGGATCACAGAATAATATAAAACCAAGAAACAAAAACTAGGAAGACCTTTGAAAAGTAAACTAAAGCTAAGCCTACTGGAGCTCCCTGATGTATTTTAATCAGCAACTCAGTTCTGATACAAAAATCATTCAAGTCAGGTTAGATTATGAACAAATTATCAGCCTTGGACTACAGATATTTTAACTCTGAATCTCAACCTTTCTGTAACATAGTCAAAGCTCTCTGCAGTCTGAAAATGGAGCTAACTAATGATATGGCATCTGAAACGTTTTATTTTTGTTTTCTTCACAAGGCCTGTAAAGAAAAGAATATTCTCTGCCGTACTGGGCCAGTGGCCAAGAAAAGATCACGATGTAAAGTAGTGCTATTCCCATCTACTACCTGTGTTTAATCACCTAAGGCAAATACATGAAATGTTGAAAAGACTCAAATATGCTCATGAATACGTGACTTGCAAAAAATGTCAAGACAGCAAGTGAACCCATCAGAAGTATTTTCTGAGTACTGTGCGCTCAGCACTGGGTAAGGCACTGTAATTATAGGAAGCAAACTTTAAAGTTGACATTGAATGGACTGCTACCTCAAGGTTTGGAATCATTTTGAAAAACAAATTTGGTGGAGAAAAAAACACATCCAACAAACAAAATCGATTCTTCTTCAGTACAATCCTCTCCCGAATTCCTCCCAGACCAAGCTGACCCTGTTTTCTCGGGCAGCACGGCCTTTTCCCGTAGAGTTCCGGTTCCCCGGCGGCCGCAGGCGGAAGGATACGTGCCGGCTTGCGTTTTCAGGCGGAGGCGGAAGTGGTGCTCATCCACATAGTGCGACTCCATGGAGTGAATGACGCGGGCTCGCACAGCCAGGGGCCTTCGGTGAAGAACGCGTAAAGGTGTTTTCTGGTCGATCTTTAAGTCCTAGGGGACAATATGACACGCAGTCCCAGCGTCAGAGCTTTGCCACCCAGTGAAGCCTGCCTTAGCCCTTCCCTCGCCATCCGAAGCTCAGCACGGATGTTTCTTTTAGAGGACTCCATCTATCACGGGGTGAGCACTAATGGTAAAATGAATTGTGTCCCCTTAGCTTCAAACTCTGTGGGACTTCTCGTAACCCAGTCTAACATTACTCGCTTTCTGGGCCCCAGTAACGTCGCCATTTAAAGTAAATAGGTCTCTTTTACTCTCATATTTAACAAACTGGTGAAGGCCCTGGAGTTCTGGCCTGCCCTTTAGGTCCATCGGGCTCCTCTAAAGGACAAGGCCCTTACCTTTGTTTCCTAACCCAACAGAGCAACCCAAGAGTGGGAATTTCAGGCTGGGGTGAGAAATGGCTGGTTGCAGAAGAGGGAGTATCAGCATCACTTGGGTGTATGGCGGTTTGCATTTATTTGAGACAGGGTCTCACTGTCACCCAGGCTTGAGTGCAGAGGTGCGATCTCGGCTCACCGCAACCTCCGCCTCCCAGGTTCAAGCGACTCTCCTGCCTCAGCCTCCCAAGTAGCTGAGATTACAGGTATGCAACACCATGTCCAGCTAAAAAAAAAATTTTTTTTTTTTTTTAATTTGGTAGTGGCGTGGTTTCACAACATTGGCCGGGCTAATCTCCAACTCCTGACCTGAGGTGACCTGCCAGCCTCAGCATCCCAAAGTGCTGGGATTACAGGCGTGAGCCACCACGCCTGCCGAGTTTGCGTGTTTTGAGGAGAACCACATACCTAAAAGACTGCATGTCTTTTTACATTTAAGATTTTTTAGGGACACAGGCTTGTCCTTGAACAATTTCTCACGAATTGTTCAAGTTAGATATTTTCTTTTATGTCACAAGATAAAAATTAAGAAATAGACGTTAATGCTGTAAAAGGTCAACTAATTACAAGTTTTAAAAATAAATGTTGGGCATAATCAGAAATTTGGGTTCATAAGAACTGAATCCTCTGCAATTTCTTGTTGGAACAACTCTTCCTAATTTCCATGGTTCTTGAGTACAGGAAAGCCTGCTAAGGAAAGAAAGGTCTGGGTCTGGTCTCTCCTCTATCAAGTTCTCCACTAAGAAAAACAGAGCAAGTTCTGATGAAGACCACATTTGAAAGGGTGTGACTGCTTTTATCAGAGTGGTGAGTCAATGGCTCCTCCTAATTGTGATTTTTATCATTCTTTTATTTTGTTATAGAAATACTTTGTCCTGATGAGATAAGCTGTCTCCATAAAATCTGATTTTTCTCTGGTCAAAGAGACAATTAAAAAAATACATAAATAGCCGGGCGCTGTGGCTCAAGCCTGTAATCCCAGCACTTTGGGAGGCTGAGGCGGGTGGATCACGAGGTCAAGAGATCGAGACCATCCTGGTCAACATGGTGAAACCCCGTCTCTACTAAAAATACAAAAAATCAGCTGGGCATGGTGGTGCGTGCCTGTAATCCCAGCTACTCAGGAGGCTGAGGCAGGAGAATTGCCTGAACCCAGGAGGCGGAGGTTGCGGTGAGCCGAGATCGCGCCATTGCACTCCAGCCTGGGTAACAAGAGCGAAACTCCGTCTCAAAAAAAAAAAAAAAAAAAAAAAAAAATACATAAATAAAGGACAAGGCTGAACTGTACAGGAATCTATAAAGACATGGCTTCCACTTTACAGTAGAGAAACAGTGGGCCTTTAAATTAACAACTATCTATGGAGTTCTCCTCTCCCCTGCTTCCTTTACCTTTAGAGTAACTTCCAGTACTTTGACCATGAGGCAGTCAGTCAACAGAAATACCACGAGCCTCATGTCTTTTTTGGTTTGTCTTCATTTGACAAAAGGAAACCACTTCATTTATTCTAACATTGCACTCTGCTGCTACCATACTGCTGAGCTTTTAGAAACACACACACACACACACACACATACACACAAATATAAGCTTTTTTTTTTTTCTATTTTTGTTTTAAGAAATAGGTTGCTCCTAAAGAGGTGATAATTAGTAAATCTGAAGTGACTTTTTCTCAGAATTGGGAAGTAAGTCCCGATTCTGAGATAGTTTTTATAATTTTTATGCCAACTGGAATATTTGAAGACTAAAATCATTATTTGAAATTAACTAGTTGTATCAGTCTACTTGGGCTATGGACCATTAAAATAGACACTATCACCACTTAGTCTGTACCTATAAAAATCATCTTTCAGCCCAGGCTGGAGTGCAATGGCACAATGATGGCTCATTGGCCTCCACCTCCTGGGCTCAAGCAGTCCTCCTGCCTTGGCTTCCCAAAACGTTGGGATTACAGGCATGAGTCACTGCACCTGTCCTCAGCATTATTTCTGAATTATCTCTATGGCTACCCCCAAACTATGAACCTATTTTTTTAACCCCCGAACTGTGAACATATTTTTTTAATGAGTTTATTTTTCCCACAGCATTCTCAATGACTCATACAACCCATGTGAAGGCATAGAGAAATTCAGAAATTCATTTTGCAATCTTAAAGATAACCATATATGTTATAACTACCATCCTAAGAACCTTACATAGTACAGCCAAAAGCCAAAGGGCCTTAGCTATAGAATCACAGGACCTGAGAACTGAAGAGGCCATTGGAGTTGATCTAGTCCATCCCCTCATTTTATAAATGACTTTCTTTAAGCCGGTGAATGATGTGTATGTTTTCACCAAAATATTCATACTATAAACATTATTCTGTACTTTGCTTTTTTTTTTCATGTCATAGGTGCTCCTATGAGTTATAGATATAGACATATATCTTTTTTTCCAGCAGTTTTAGGTACATACTAATATATAAATTAAATAGGGTCATATGCTGGGTTTTGTTTTTGCTTTTGTTTTGAGACAGAGCCTATTCTGTCCCCCAGGCTGGAGTGCAGTGGCGCAATCTCAGCTCACTGCAACCTCTGACCCCTGGGTTCAAGAGATTCTCATGCCGCATCCTCCCAAGTAGCTGGGACTACAGGCATGCACCACCATGCCTGGTTAATTTTTTGTATTTTCAGTAGAGATGGGGTTTTACCATGTTGGCCAGGCTGGTCTCAAACTCCTGGCCTCAAGCGATCCACCCACCTCAACCTCCTAAAGTGCTGGGATTACCGGCGTAAGCCACCATGCCCAGCCTGATTTTGTTTTTTTTAATAGCTGTATAATATCCCAATGTACTCTACTATTTCCTTATTGAGGGACATTGATTTTGTTTCCAGTTTTTTTTTGTTGTTGTTGATTTTGCCACTTAAAGCCATTAAACATCGTGTACATATTCTTATGCACTGGAGTTTTATTTCTACGGGACAGATCAGTATATTTTAAATTTTTGCAGTCATTGCCATGTTGTTTTTGAAAAAGACTGAAACACGACATTTCTACTGAGAACTCTTCTCCATTCCAAGCCATTGATAGGTATTGTTAACCTAAGGGGAGTAAAGTGATGTCTTATTGTTACATCAATCTGGAGGTGGAACCTTTTTAAATGATTCTTGGCCACTTGCTCTTTTTGAAGCTAACTGGTTCATATTCTTTGTCTGTTTTTATCTGTTGTGTGTTCATATTTTTCATGATAATATAAATCCTATTTGTAGTATCTTTTGCCATACAATTTGTTTTCTACATAATCCTCTATATGTATATACATATACATATATGTGTGTTTGTATGTTCTTAAATCAGCAGTCCCCAACCTTTCTGGCACCAGGGACCAGTTCTGGAAAGACAATTTTTCCATGAACTGGGGAAGGAGGGTATGGTTTGGGGATGATTTAAGCACATTACATTATTGTGCAGTTTATTTCTATTATTATTACATTGTAATATATAATGAAATAATTTTACAACTTACCATAATGTAGATTCAGTGGGAGCCCTGAGCTTGTTTTCCTATAACTAGAGGGTCCAATCTGGGGGTGATGGGAAACAGTCACAGATCATCAGGCAGCAGATTCTCATAAGAAGCTTGCAACCTAGATCCCTCACACGTGTGGTTTCCAATAGGGTTTGCGCCTTTTATCAGAATCTAACACCGCTGCTGATCTGACAGGAGACCAAGCTCAGGTGGTAATGTGTGTGATGGGGAGCAGCTGTAAATACAGATGAAGCTTTGCTCTCTTACTCGCCATTCATTTTCTGCTCTGTGGCTGGATTCCTAACAGGCCACGGACTGGTACCACCAGGGGGTTGGGAACCCCTGCCTTAAATCACAACATATAATCCTCTATAGATTCTATACCTTGTTTATTTTTTTTTCCTTAGCACTTACCAGAAACATTTTCCTGTGTGAATAAATATTTATCTACCACATAATTTTCAATGGCTGAATAGTGGTAGCCCATTATACAGATAAGCCAATAATATTAAACCAGTTCCTTCTGGTAGGTCATCTAGATTGTTGTAAAATATTGCCTATTTAAACAATGTGGGAACTATATGCATCTCTGTGCCCATGTATGCTCATTCCTTCCATTTTAAGGTAAACTATTTTTATAAGAACAAGTGGGGGCAGGTAGGAAGAAATATGCAAACAAACAGGCAGACACTCTACTGTGACATACTCAGGTATGGGAAAACTTCACCTGTGCCAAAATGCATGTGCTTTACATATATTATCATGTGTTTTATTCATGTACTTAATCTCACCATCAGTTCTATTAGATAAGTGCTATTTTATATTTGATAGATGACCAAAGATAATAATAGCATTGCCAAGTGTTTTCTATGTGCCAAGTACTGTTCTAAGTGCTTTATCTAATTAAACTCATTTAATTATTTTAACTAATTTTATAGATGAAGAAAGTGAAGCAGAAAGAGGTTAAGTAACTTGTCCAAAGTAACACAGCTAAGAAATGCAGATCCAGGATTTGCACCCAGGCAATCTGTCTTCAGAGTGGGGCTCTTCAACACTGACCACACTGCCTCTCCAGTGGGTTAGATGAACTGCACAGTCCTTCAGCTAGTCAGTGGCAGAACCAGGCTTAGAACCCAGGTCTTGCAGACCCCAAAGCCCATGCCATGTGACTTGCTAGTAATAAACTAGAAGACAATGGGGCCTTTGATAGGCAACAGAAAAATGAAATAAAAAGAATAAGCACATTTAAACTACCTTTATGTCATTCAGGAATTCAATGTCTTTCTTCTGTATCACTTTATTTGTCCATATTAAGGCACTGTAGGTCTTTGTCTTTTCTTCTTCACCTTCTTTCATATGTCCTATTGCCTCTCTAAACAAAAACAATTTTTAAAAGTTTGTCCGAATATATAAGATACAAACAAGTCTTGCCCTAAGTTAACCTTTCTTTAAAAATAGTTCCAATGACATATAACTTACATATAATTTCCCAGTTTTAACTGCGCAATTCAATGGTTTTTAGTATGTTTTCAGAGTTGTGCAGCTATGGTAACAATCTAGTTTTAGAATACTTTCATCACCCTGAAAAAGAAACTTTGTACCCGCTAGTGTCTCTTCCCATTATTATTTTCCTCCAGCCCCAGACAACCATTAACTGACTTTTCATCTCTATAGATTTACCTATTCTGAACATTTCATATAATGAAATCATACAGTATGCAGTGCTTGGTGTCTGGCTTCTTTCATTTCAAATGTTTTCAAGGTTCATCCATGTTGCCGCATGTGTCAGTACTTCATTCCTTTTTATTACCAAATAATATTCCATTGTATGGATATATCACATTTTGTTTATTCATAGACACTTGGGTAGTTTCTACTTCTTTGCTATTGTGAATAATGCTACTATGAATATTCATGTACAAGTCTTTGTGTAGATGTATGTTTTCATTTATCTTGTATATGCAATATCTAGAAGTGGTTATGATTTGCATTTCCCCAATGACTAGTGATGTTGAGCATTTTTTCATGTGTTCATTGGCTATTCCTATATCCTCCCTGGAGAAATGTCTACTTGATCATTTCCCCATTTTTTAATTGGGTTGTTAAGAGTTCTTTATACATTCTGGGTACAATTCCCTTATCTAGATATATGACGTGGAATTGAAACATCTCTTTTGAAATAATCTCCAGTGAGCCTACTCTTACCTTGTGACAAGCTGCAAGTCACGTACTTGGATTTTGTTAGATGAGTTATTAATTTTCTGTAGTAGCAGAAAAAGAAAAACAATTAGCAAGTCTAGCTCAGTTACAGAGTTGCACAAACATGACGATTTCCATGTCATGAAGTGGTTTACCTGCTGAAGTTCCTTAATTTCTTGTGAAGTGAAATGTACTCTATGAGGATTCACCAGCTCAATTGCAAAGGGCCTTCCTGGCAGCACACACCCCGTCATGAAACAGAAACGTGTTGATGGAGTTAACATTTGGGCTAATGCAAGAGGGTTAGGAGGTGTGAAAAATGGGTTGAGCTCTAGAGGACTGAAAGTTTAGTGACATGACTACATCTGAGGGAGGGAAGAATGTGTGAGAAGAATCAACGGGCTTTTTGTTGGGGCAGAGAGGCTACTAAACCCCAGCACAGGCTGTATGTGAGAATGACTGCTTTCCCAAAGGTCGATGAACAAGCCTGTGTTAATTACAAAATGCAGTTCAGATAACCACTAATTAACTTGGTTACACTAATGTAAAGTTGTCACATGCAGCAATGCCCTGTTGAAATCCATCCTCCTAGTGATCCACTAGTAAAAGGGAAAAGCTTTGGTTCCATGAGAGGAAGGAACTATAAATCTCAGATAGTTCAAGATTAAATGTCATCATGTTTCTGGTAATGTAACAGGGTAAAATGAGAGACATGAAGGTTAAGACAGCAGAATCACTTTTTAAATAGAGATGTACATTTTGAAAACCGTACTGGTCCTCCTGAAATGTTATAAATGAAATGATTAATAATCAAACTTTTGGGAAAAAAAAAAAGCAAGCACCTTTTTATTAATGTACATACAAGTCCCTTATAACCTACAGGTATGCAATTAGGAGGGCCTCCAAAGAAATGATTCCTGTTAAGGTATATTTCATATAATTCATAAAGGGACCTCTATAATCCACAAAGCTTCCTCCCTTGGAGAAGCTCTGGGCCTTGCTCACTTTGGTTTTCACTGAGTGACTATGCTAAGCCTGCTGTCTATAAAGGATGATAATCAGAAAGTTAGTTCTCATCAGGTGATGCTGTTGCCGTCTTACCATTTCCTAATGTTCTCACATCTACATCTTCTCTTCCAGAGGATGAAAAATTGAAACCTTTGAAAAGCAGATAAAGAAAAAAAATTAGAGACATAACAGCCCTAAGATATTCATTCCCAACCTTTGGTAGAAACCCAATTGAAGGTCTTCAACAATCTACAGGAGAATCTCAAGGAAGAGTCATCATCCCACCTCTAATGTTAATCTCTACTAAAAATAGTAATGCTAATAGTAAACACCATTTATTGAGCACTTATTATATGCCAGGCATTGGATTAAAAATTATATATATATATATGTATATATATATATTTTAGAAATGAGGTCTTACTCTGTCACCTAGGCTCGAGTACAGCGGCGTGATCATGGCCCACTGCAGCCTCAGACTCCTGGACCTAAACAATCCTCTTGCCTCAGCCTCCCAAGTAGCTAGGACCACAAGTGCACACCAACATACTTAGCCATTTTTTTAATTTTTGTAGAGATGAGGTCTTGCTTTGTCGCCCAGGCTGCTTTTTAACTCCTGAACTCAAACTATTCTCCTGCCTTGGCCTACCAAAGCACCGGGATTACAGGTGTCAGCCACCACACCTGGACCATGTACTATTTAATCCTTCTTATAACCTTATAAAGTAGGTATAAAAGAACGCCAGGCTTCAGAAAGTTAGGTAATGTTCCCAAGGTCACACAAGTAAATGGCAGAGCTAGGTGTTTCTGATGTTAACATCAGAACTTAACTACCATCCCATGGGAAAGCCGAGGCAGAGCGCTGTTTGGAAGAAGAACCCACCACCACCCTGGCCATAAGCTTACAGTGAAAACTCTATCATCTTTCTTTCTTTCCTTAGAACAAAGCAAAAACATTTATTATTTAAGAATTAAACTCGGCTGGGCGCGGTGGCTCACGCCTGTAATCCCAGCACTTTGGGAGGCCGAGGCAGGTGGATCATGAGGTCAAGAGATCGAGACCATCCTGGTCAACATGGTGAAACCCCGTCTCTACTAAAAATACAAAAAATCAGCTGGGCATGGTGGCGCGTGCCTGTAATCCCAGCTACTTGGGAGGCTGAGGCAGGAGAATTGCCTGAACCCAGGAGGCGGAGGTTGCAGTGAGCCAAGATCGCGCCATTGCACTCCAGCCTGGGTAACAAGAGCAAAACTCCGTCTCAAAAAAAAAAAAAAAAAAAAAAGAATTAAACTCCATGAAAGAAAAAGGAGAGAAAAAAAAGGTTTGACTCTAAGAAGCAAATTCATTATATATGTCATCAAGCCTAAGCTGGAACCATGATAAAACCCAGTGTGTGCTCTAAGATAAATAGATCATCACAGACTAAAAGCTGCAAATATTGGAAGGGGAAAATGGTTAAAAAAAAAAAAAAAAAAAAAAGGCAGGGGGCTTACTCAACAACTTTTTTAGATATAGAACTAGGCCAAGCAGGAAGTAGGAGTCTGTGAACCACTAAGTCCCAAAGAACCCTCCATTCTGTGCTTACACTCCAGTGTCAAGTTACTAATAAATCCATAGCAACATCAGTATCTTCTAGTCAGAGTCAACAGACTCAACTCAAGTTGTAGCACTAACAACAGACAGATGGCCATAGCTCAGTGGTGAATTCAAAAACGGCATCTGGGAAGCTGAAGATGCAGACTCCTTGGGGCTATGATTTGTCTTATACCTGCCCACCCCCGTCTCCCAGTCAGCCCTGTCAGGAAAACAGAGGGTCCACAGTGACTGAACAAGAACCTGTGACTGGTAGGCGTGAAGGGAATGAACAGGCCTCAAATAGTTAAGTCTACTAGTAACTGAAGCAGCAGAAATCTCAAAATCATAAGTCAGCCATAAAACTTCCCACAAATTCCAGCTCATCAGTTAGAAAGAGGTACAGAAAGCGAGGTCCTTGAGAAGGCCACCAAAGCATTTGATCCAGGCTAAAGGAGAAGGCATATTTATTGATCTTTTAGAAAAATGTTTCAGACCTGAAAATTAAGGAAACATCCTTGGACCCCAGAGTGAGAGAAACTTTGGGAGGCAAACCTGAAAACTTAGTAGTGTGCAATTATGAATAGCAGCTGACAAAAAAGGAAAAGAAGCCACTGCCTTAAGTACTAGAAAATATATGCTTAAAACTTAGTTGAGTTTTTAAAATTCATATTATTCCTTGTCTCATCCCCCTAAAAAAAAAAAAAAATCAAGGGCAAGAATGATCAGGAACTATAAGTGGTTCAGCTAATCTGCAGTGGTCCTCGTGCTTGGGGCAGACAGACAATGGGACTGAAAGAATGGGCAGAAGCCAGACAATGAAGGCCCCAGAATATCCAGGTTAGTGGTTTGGACTTCATCCTATAGCTAGTCATTGACCAGTTTTTAGTAGAGAACTGATGAGGAAAATATTTATTCAATAAGTGAATTAATATATTAGGATAAAATTTCTTAGACATACAGATTTTTGAGAACATGTCAAAATTTATTACTCATTACAGAGTTAACAAGTAGACAATAAGACATGCCAGTCTGAAGTGACTGAGAAAGAAGTTGGTATATCCCACATAGGGGAAGGGATGTTTATACAGGTAGCTACACTGCTCCATGTAATACTGGCTTAGTTTATAGAACTTTAAAATGTAGGGGTACCACAGTTAGAACCATCTTCCCAGAGTTGTCAGATGAGAACCACTCATCAATAATAATAAGTAATATATCTGAGAAGCACAGGTTCAGCAAATTTATGTTATTAATCAGAGATTTCAAACAACAAGAGTTTATCCCCTCACAGGGAGCCAGTGAGCACTGAGGCCCAAAGGTCTGCTTTTTCTCCGGGGGCTCTCAATAAATTATGTCAGCACACATTTACAGCTGTCAAGCATATAATATGCTCTTTTCAGTTTGGGGATAATTTACCCCACTCAAATGGAAAATGACAACAAACCGTCTTCATTAAAGATTGTAAGGGGGAAAACACAACTGTTTCAGAGCCAGTTCCAGCAGCCCTAGAGGTAACAGGGACTTCCCTGGGGCACAAATAGAACTGAAACTTTTTTGAATCTTCTTAAAGAAAAGGAGTAAAGTGGTATAAGGGAAATGGCTATGCTTTAGTCAGGAGTAGGCTGAGGCGGCCTTCCAGTGTAGCATGACTCAGCCTGTTTAGAGCACAGGCGCACAACTCCATACGTTATGCAACTATGCCAAATGAGAGATGCATTAGGTGATCATTCACGTGAGCTAGTGCCTGGCTTGGAGCCACTATTGTCTGTAAAAGGTGTAACTACCCTACTGACACTGCACATACCACACGCACCGGGGCTTGCACCCAGAGAGAATATAAATCCATGTTGAAACTCCTTGCAATTTTTCCAGTGTTCTTTCGGCTGCCAGCTACTCATCTACCCACTGCCCTTGGTCCTCAGCTTGGTCTAGAACCCAACACTTGGTGTGACACTTGATGTAGCCAGCAGGATACTGAGATTTAGAAGTGACAACACCCATCTTCCCTGAGATTGGGGTGATGCAGCTGAAATCACCTTCTAGCAGCCAAGCAGGCCATTCAGCAGGCACAAGCCCTTTGGATTCACATGCTCCAACTACATTGTGGACTGGGCCCACACCTGTGCTGAGGTGACCAATATTTTCAACTGTTGGATCTGTACTGCCCTTCCAGCTTGGCCTGGCACATACATCCTGTGTCTGCAGATAACTGGACATGGTTGGAGACCTGGGGTCCCATGGCTGACACCTGGAACACAATACACAAGCTTTGGACAAAGGATGCTGCAAGACCCACAGCACACTCACCCCCTGGCTGGCCTGTAGCATTTATGATGGGTGGAGCTGGCTAGTGGGGGAACATGTAGTACCCCCAGCCCAGGCACTGTGGTGCATAGAGCAACACTGGGGTAATACCAGTGTGGGATGGGTACCCATCATAGCCTGTGTAAACATAACACAATGTTATACCTTTAGCAGAACATAACAGCAGCCCTGCAAGGGGTCTCACAGGAGATTAAGGTAGTCAAGGACACCCTCAGGCTAGGGAAATGGCTGCATTTTTAGTCAGGAGTTGACTGAGGTGGCCTTCCAACACAGCATGACTCAGCAGGTTTAGTGCGCAAGTGTGCAACCCCACACATTATGTAACCACACCACGTGAGGCACATTAGGTGATCACTCATGTGAACTTGTGCTTGGCTCAGAGCCACTATTGTCTGTAAAAGGTATAACTACACTGCTGATGCCATACATATATAGCTCGCACCTGGGCTTGTGCCCAGAGAGAGAGAATAGAGCCATGTCCAAAACACTCTATGATTCCTTGAGTGTTCTTTCAGCTGCCTGCCACTCATTCACCCACTCCAGCTTGGGCTGGAACCTCACACTTGGTGTGACAGGTGGTCCCAAAAAGAATCCAAATGAAACTTTTTGGGCTAAAGCTTTATTTTCAGCCCTTTATAACTTGCTTAACTCTTATGTGATAATCCATTTGTAAACACCAAATTAACTGGGCAAAAGCTCATGGCAATAGCCCAGGGTCTTTACTGCTAAGATTTTGGAAAATATTAGGGTGCTGGGATACCTTTTTTTTCTGTTTAGTAAACAATTCTTAAAGACCCTTAAAAAAAGGGCCACCTACGTGATAGGCAACAAATTATAAGAGGGATATAGTTTGAAGTATTTCTCTTTCCTCCTTCCAAGTGAGGGAGCTGGAAGGGTCAGCCATATCTCATCTAGACCATGTGTTTGTCATTATCAAAGCATGCTTATCTTAAGGTCTTTCAGAGACAAGGATGAATTTCTAGCTGATTTGTCAAAAAAAGGGTTTTCTGGCTGAGCGTGGTGGCTCACGCCTGTAATCTCAGCACTTTGGGAGGCCAAGGTGGGTGGATTGCTTGAGCTCAGGAGTTTGAGACTAGCCTTGGCAACATGGCAAAACTCTATATCCACAAAAAATACAAAAAAATTAACCAGGCATGGTGGCACATGCCTGTAGTTCCAGCTACTTGGGAGGCTGAGGACAGGTGGATTGCTTGAGCCCAGGAGGTCAAGGCTTCAGTAAGCCATGATCACGCTACTGCACTATAGCCTGGTCAACAAAGTAAGACTTTGTCTCAAAAAAAAAAAAAAAAGGTTTTCTAATTATGCTAGGAGTTTCATTCCAAAGAGTAACATCACTCATGCCTTGCAGTTTTTCCTGATGTGTAACACAATTTCCTGTGATTAAAATCATAGGACTTTATGCTGCCTTTGACCTGACAGGCCTGTTGAGACAAGGAAAACATAAACTTGACAGGACCTGACTCATCTCACAAACCTAGGTTCGTTAATACCTAAATTCAAAAACAGTACAGCTGCTTTTCAGTCTTTGTAAAATGGTTCCTGTTGATTTACTTTCTCTAGGCCTGAACTTTATTCCAGGACACTTCATAGGTTAAGACAGAAGCCAAACATTTGTCATGATTACTCTTGAAGAAGCACTGGATGTTGAAGATGTATTTTAATTTCCTCATATTCCCCCAAAGAGGCCAAGGCTGAGGTATACCAGGGTCAGGGCTTAGGTGCATTCATTTAAAGTAGTTTCAGTTGTTTTGTATTTCCCCAGGAGGGAACAGTCCTTTTATTTATTAATTCATTATTTTTTTAGGCAGAGTCTCACTCTTTCACCCAGGCTGGAGTGCAGTGGTGTGATCTTGACTCACTGCAACCTCTGCCTCCTGGGTTCAAGCGATTTGTGTCTCAGCCTCCCGAGTAGTCTCTGAGACTATAGGTGTGCGCCACCATGCCCTGACTAATTTTCATATTTTTAGTAGATATATATGGTCTCACCATGTTGCCCAGGCTGTTCTTGAATTCCTGGCTGCAAGTGATCTACCCGCCTCAGCCTCCAAAAGTGATGGGATTGCAGGCACGTGCCACTGCGCCCGGCAGAGCAGTCATCTTGAGAGAGGACAGGCAGATATTCTCAAGTGCTTTGGCTGAAATCCAGCCCAGAACAGCACCCAGGACATGATGATCCCTGTTCACAGGAAGCCTATGGCCAAGAGGCCCAGACTTGGTAGTGATGAGCAAAATACAGAACTCTTTCCTGCCACCCCCAAGATATCTATTCATGAATGTCAGTGTATTACATATATGGCCAGGTGCAGTGACTCATGCCTGTAATCCCAACACTTTGGGAAGCCCAGGTGGGAGGATCACTTGAGCCCAGGAGTTCGAGACCGGCCTGGGCAATGTAGTGAGACCCCCAACTCTAAAAATATACTGAAACATAACCGAGCATGGTGGTGCATACCTGTGGTCCCAGCTACTCAGGAGACTGAAATGGGAGGATTGCTTGAGCCTGGGAGGTTGAGGCTGTACTCCAGCCTGGGTGACAGGGTGAGATCCTCTCTCTCTCAGAACACACACACACACACACACACACACACACACACAAATATGAAGATTAGGTCAGGTAGGGTGGCTCATGCCTATAATCCCAGGACTTTGGGAAGCCAAGGCAGGCAAATCGTTTGAGCCCAGGAGGTCAAAGCTGCAGTGAGCTGTGATCATGCTACTGCACTCTAGCCTGGTTGATACAGCAAGCCCCTCTCTCAAAAAAAAAAGAAAAAAAGTATGAAGATTGTAACACTTACTCTCTGCTTTGAATACTGTCAACAGATGATCTGAAATTAATTCTTCCACTGAAGATTCCAGCTTCCTTTCTCCATCAATTATCCAAGGAGTTTGTGGTAGATTCCTGGAGTATTTATTATATCTCCCTGAGAAATAAAGAATCAAGTAGCCTGGATGGAATGGAGTGATTAATATAATGCGATAAAAAGAGAAGCAACAACTATTTAAGGAGTAAATAAATAAGAGCCCATATCCTAAGGGCTAAGATATAAAACAAGGCCTATCCTTTACCTAACTAACAGTCCAATTTCGAGACCTGGCACATAGACATGTAGATAATTAAACAGCAAGGTTTAAAGTAACAATAGAACAGATGGGTAAAAATATATGACATGAATGTGCATCAAATGAATTTGAAAGGAATACTTAACATAATTAATTTGATTGGCTGACTGAACAAGTTATATGATCTTATGAATGCACCAAGGATTTAAAAAACACACACACACAAGCAAACTTGCTTTTATGCCTGATGAATAAAGCTACATTAAGGCAGGTAGCTTTCATTGCCCTAAGATAGGATATTATAGTTAAGGCTGAAGAGCAATTTCACTTCAGCTATTGCTATAAAACAGTTGTAACTTTCAAACAAAACTTTGTCTCCAGATTACCTTTTGGGAAAGTCAATGAACAATTTCTTTCCAGTGGAAGCCAAGTGTTTAGTCATTTTGGAGATAATAAATTGTTTTTTCAAGTTTGCTTTTATGTTATAAAATAACCTCTGTCCTGCTATTTTTCTTCAAACCAGTTTTGGGTCTTGGCATCTACCCATATTTCTGTTTGGCTATCTCTGATGAAAACTATTAAAACCTGGGAAGTGCCATTTTTCTTTGGCATGGCATTTAAAATCTCCTGAGTGATTCTTTAGAATGCCCACAAAACCTCAAATAAGCTTGGCTATCAATGCTACTTCTCAAGAGAGTAAACTTACTAGAATCTAAAAACAACAACAAGAATAAACTAGAACAGGAGTCAGTTGAGTTATCAGAAAGGAGAGTATGTTCACAGTGTATGTATATTCTAGACTAAATATTTTACCAGCCACAAAAACAGCACCATGAGCACATTCAATTTCAAGAACAGTGCATGTAGCCTTTGGTGAGTTTGGAGGACAAGGAAACTGCCTGAAAAACAAAATAAATGTTATAGCTATTTTCCAGACATAATATTGAATCCCAAAACTTAGATGAATCAGCATTGTCTGAGACATGCACAGAGCCCAAGTCTCCCGCTAACTTTTAGTTTTGGAACAATACAGGTCTTGCAGGCCTGTGGAATACCACTTTTAACATATGAGAGTGGCAGTAAGTACATAAGGGCTCTGCTGCTACCTTTCACCTTCAGGAGGCCTTATCCTCCTAGGCAAAAACCGCAGTTACTTTTGCACCAACCTAATGCTTTCCAAAAGCCTCAAGATTTGAGGGAAAAATCCATACATAAGAAGAGGAAGCCCCTCCAGGCTCATTTAACCATTTTGCTGTCCATGGTCACCTGCAGTTCACTGCTGACTACCCTCCTTATCATATCATTGTTTAAAATGTATTGGGTCGGGCACGGTGGCTCAAGCCTGTAATCCCAGCACTTTGGGAGGCCGAGGCGGGTGGATCACGAGGTCAAGAGATCGAGACCATCCAGGTCAACATGGTGAAACCCCGTCTCTACTAAAAATACAAAAAATTAGCTGAGCATGGTGGCTCGTGCCTGTAATCCCAGCTACTCAGGAGGCTGAGGCAGGAGAATTGCCTGAACCCAGGAGGCGGAGGTTGCAGTGAGCCGAGATCGCGCCATTGCACTCCAGCCTGGGTAACAAGAGCTAAACTCCGTCTCAAAAAAAAAAAAAATGTATTGAAGGATTTTCTGGAAAGAAAACTACAGTAATATTTTATTTAATAAATGAACGTACCAAGAATTAAAATGTAGGGTTTATTGCATTTATTTTATTTAGCATATCTTAACAAGTGAGGAAACTCATGAGCCTTCCTCTGCCCCTTCTGGAGATGAACGATACTAGGAAATACAGGACTAAATTTGGGCTAGAATGTCAAGAAATCTGGCTCCAGATCCACTCTCTTACTAGCTTAGGCAAGTCAACTCCCTCTTTGGATACCAATACCCTCTTCTAAATTAAGAAGTTAGACTTGATTCGGCCGGGGGTGATGGCTCACACCTGTAATCCCAGCACTTTGGGAGGCTGAAGCAGGTGGATCACCTGAGGTTAGGAGTTCAAGACCAGCCTGGTCAACATGGCAAAACCCCGTCTCTACTAAAAATACAAAAAATTAGCCAGCGAGTGGTAGCACGCACCTATAATGGCAGCTACTTGGGAGGCTGAAGCAGAAAAATCACTAGAACCCAGGAGGTGGAGGTTGCACTGAGCCAAGATTGCTCCACTGCACTCCAGCCTGGGCAACAAAAGTAAAATTCCATCTCAAAAACATAAATAAATAAATAAAAAGTTAGACTTGATTCATAAATTCAAATATGAATATGACAAACATTTACTCAACACCACTACATGCCAGGTACTGCACCAGGGGTTGGAGAGAGAACAATGACTAAGACGCAGTCCTGGCCCCAGAAATACACCGTCTCGTTACAGGGTAATCCAGCTTATTTCTAACATTCCCTTTATTCTAAAATTTCATCATGCTTCATTGTTTCTATACTTCTACTTACTTAAGGAAATCCTCTTCTTTTATCTTATTCAAGGCTTTCATAACTGCCATTCTAGTGAATACAGACTATATAGGGTAAAATGAGAAGAAAAGACATTTTACTATCCAGACAAGAAAATGTCAGAGGTAAAACACAGAGCATGGTTGGAGAAATTCTATCATTTCATATACTTAGCAGGGAGAAATACTTAAGCATTTCAAGAAAATAAATAAAACTTAAGCATTCATGTCAGTTCTGCAACTGGCATACCTCTGCAACCTCTCTTCAATCTGGTCTATGTCTGTAATTACAGGTAGATCTAGCAGAGCAGGTCTCCTTCACTACACTGTCCCACTTCCCTCAAATTATAGTATAATTAAAATACAAAAAGTGATGACACTCTAGGAAATGTGATTTAATTTTTTTCCCCTTGACCTCAAGAATTTAGATTGATTCCGCTACCTTTTCTTTCCTACATCCCTTCAGACTTCAGTATGTAATTTAGGAGTTGGCTGCCAGAGTAAGGGATAAAGCAGAGCCAACCTGCCTGCCCTGGCATCTAGCAACTCAGTAGCAATCACCAGCCACAAAGTAAGCAAACCACTGTACTGAGCAGAAGGGCATCTACAACAAGTGTTCCGCTTGGGTTTTTTAAGATAAGAAAAGCCAAACTGTACAGTAGACATACTAGAACTAATTAGCACATATATACATGGCTTACTATGATAAATCACAATTATTTCTTCCGTTATGAGAAACTGCAATTGACTGAAAAGGATTACAATGTAGGCAGCTCAACAGTTTATCACCAGTCAAAGGAATGATTTTTTTCAAAATCATGTTCTAGGGAACACTATGGCATTCTATAAGATACCATAGGGTTACAACTGAAAATTTAGTGCCTAATTGATAAGATATGAAATCTTAGACCTGAAAAAAAATCTCAAAAGGTCATTCAATTTGCTCCCAGCCATGAGTCAAGAAAATTATACTTGAGACTGTACAACTCCCACTGGCCAAATGGTGTGGTGTCTATGATGCTTTAACAAAAATCTCCTTATCCTATTACTTGATACCTATTATTATATTTCCTCAAGGGTAAATAAAATAAAACTAGATCTTCAATACAGATACATCTTTACAGGTTATCTGGACAGGGCTTCCCAACTGGCATGGCAAAGCAGTGGACCTTGGTTGTGCCAAGATGTTGATTTCTTTAGTTCACAAGGGCTGTTCAGCAGGGCCTCATACAGTGGAAACCCCAGGCCTGGTGCTGCCAATCTGAAGCAACTCCATCTGTTAACCTCAGGGTGCTGAACAAACATGGTAATGTTCTAGATGTACCATGACATGAGAAAAGTAGGGAGCTCCTGCCTTAGGCTCAGTCTGCATTTCTAATTATTTCTGCACAGGGCATTCGGCAAATGTTACAATTTTTTCCCCCCAGTTCTAAAAGGCCCAGTAATTAGTTAAAGCAAGAGGCAAAACCAACAGATGTATATGTGACAATGAACTTATGTTCTTTTTAACAATCACAACAACAAAATGAGTGTCAGTGAAACTGTAGGAATGCCTAAGTCCGTGTATGAAACCACCTATGAAACTGGGGCATGAAAGATTACCAATATTGCTCCACATCATTCTATCCTGACATGATACAAGCTAAAAGTGTTTGTTAACTAATTTGATCATTAACATGAAGATCAGCTAACATTAAGATGATAAAGGAGAGTTTTAATAAAATGCCCTTTTTGCAAATGTAGCCTGAAAGAGGCCATGTTAATTCAGGACTGTCCTAAACAAAATAACTTACTTTGGATTATACATTCTAAACATCAATTTCTACAAAATGGATGTTAGCTGAAAGTTTGTAATGCTGCTGATACTTAACATGGATTTTCCCAGATGATGCAATTTGGGGGATTAAAATCTAAACATTGAATTTAATGAGTAATAGTAACATCACTGAAACACTAGTTCTAAATTTAACCTTGTCAGGGAACAATCTAGACACTGACACAAACATGAGGATGTTTGTGTGCTAGCCAGACGTGAACGTTGAAAAAGTTGAAAAAAAATTAATGTAGCAAATATTTAGACTGATTCTTAGTATAATAGAGTTGCCATGTTTCTAATACATATCCTTTTTGTTGGAAATTTGAATATTCAGCTCAGACAAAACTCACTCAAGAGTAAGAAGTGGGACCCCTTCCTTACCTGTTTGTTTTTGGCTGGCTTAAAACAATCTGGGCATTTCGCAGCTCTAAAATAAAATTCAAGTTCATATAAAAGGTTATTAAGTTTATTTTGGGGTGGATATAATTCAAATATATTTTATACAAAATGGCTGCTAAACTCAGGTCATCAGGAGCAGACAAAATGAGTCCCTATATGAACTACATTGGTTTGCCCAGGAACCTATGTTTGAGGGCACATTTTACTTTATTTTCTTTGAGGGCACATTTTAAACCTACTAAGATATAACAAGTTCTAGAATGCTTATTAGGAAGAGAAGCAATACTCTTTTCATGAAAACCAAACAGCATTAACAATTTTACACAATTGACATTGTTTATATGGCAACTTACAGGAAGTGGCAATCCTCAACTGTTTCTGGGTGAGCAAAGACCACACTCACTTCAAACAAGCTCTAAAAATTATAAAGACAGTTTAAAAATGAGCAAAAGGAAACTAACATCTAACAACTTATGAATGGAAATAGAAATTAACTCTCAAAGATTGGCTCAGAAAAGAATGACCAGAAAAACTGGAAATACTGCTCTCAAATCAACTTGTTCATAGGGCAGCTGTAAAGGAAATCATTTTTTGTTTTTTGTTTTTAACTTCTAAAACTCAGTCGTTAGTGATCCTACCAAAAAAGTTTTAAAAGAAATTTATATACTTTTTGGATAAATGTGTAAATTAGGTCTGAGGATGAATGAGAATTTAGAGAATTGAAAATAAGTAATAAAGGAAAGAAATGAAGAATTATTCTGCCAATACTAAGATTTGAATTATTAGCAAGGCAAAAAACATACTATTCATATTCCTAAAAACTGTATGAAGCTTCTTTTTAAAGTGCTCAAACATCTTAAAGGATTTGAGTTTTAAAAGCAGATCTTAATTTTTTTGTTTTATTATAAAAATGATACACATAAATTATAAAATCATCAAATACCAAAATAGTTTTCCAATCCCATTCCACTGAAGTAGAACCATCAACAATTTGGTGTTTCTTTCCAGGCATTTTTGTGAATATAAATGTATATGTGTTATTTTTTAAGACATGCTTTTAGAAAATTGCTTTGTTTAATATCATGGAAATCTTCTCAACTCTGGGACTGTCAGACATTTCAGCTGTAGAACATTTTTTGTAACAAAAAATGCTACAATTAATATCCTTGTACACCAAAAGAAGCATGATTTTACTTTTACCTCCATGGATAATGTACAAAATTCCATATGGGCTGAAGGGAGAAGCTAAAAATGTTATACTATGTTACAATTTTGTCTTTATATTTACTGAGTTCATTGGATAGTCAGTAGACCACTTAGCTACTATAGAATCACAATAATGAATAACTTTTTTTTTTGCTCATTATTCTAATCTATACAATAATTAAAACGAACAACGCATTCCTTTTATTCAGGAAACTTCACTCAACCAGAATCTACTAGATTATTGCATCTTTTGTTTTCTGTTTTCTGTTCTCACTGATATAACATGTAAAATTATTTGTGCTTCAAAACTGAAATTTGAGGTAAAAATATTTTGCATTAATGACTTCCCTAATTTCCAAAGTACTTTCATTACCTCATTTCCTCTTCATACTGTGAAGTAGTTTTATTCTCTATTCTCTCAATATTCAATTTACAGAACAGAGCGTATTCTTACAGAAGGATATATTATTGCATAATTCAGAATGGTTTTTAAAAAATTATTTAGCTTTAGAAGATAGTTTTGTGATTTTATTTGAATAGGGGTGTATCTGATATCCAGGGAATTCCCTTCAAGCAAAATAATGAAGCAACAAGGCCATAATATTAAAATCTAATTTAAGATGACCTTCCTGTTTTCACATCTGGAAGCCTGTTGAGTCTTCCCTGAAATTCAACCCATTTCAGAGACTGAAGTAAGGTCTGCTCTGGAAAAGAAGAATGTTCTGGTTTCAAAGGCAGTTACTGCCTAAAAGTAAACAAGGGGATCTAAGATACCAGCAAGGTAGGATTGAGCTCATACTCACTGTAGTTGAATAGGTTCTACCCATGCATTTGAAAATAATATTAGCCACAGATAAACCAAAATTAAATACTCCAGAGTTGACTCTACATTTGCTTGCAGTTATTTATATACTGCTTTGTAACAAGTCTATTCCTCCAACTGAACCATAAATACATTAAAGGCAAATATTCATTTCTAACCTTTTAAGGTCAATTAGGGTACCTGGTACCCTCATAAATGTCTTAGGTCACAAAGAAGTCTTGGGGGGAAAAAAAAGATATGCTTTGACTTCAATTTAAGACTATTAGAATTTAACATTTTAAAAGCTTAAAAATCCTTCACTGGATTATTTAAAAAGAAGATCCTTTGGCTAACAAAAACCCTGCCATATAATGAAGTAAAACTAATAAAATCAGAGAATAAAATTAGCAATGCTGTTGACCCAATACCTTTCCATCAATGGGAACACCCAATTCCTCTGAAAACAGGGGGTGAGTTATCCATTTGTAGGCTTCTTTTAGCTGAACTATATCATCTCTTCCCAGCGACAGACTCTGCTTTCTGAATAACATAAAAATTAATTCACTGACATGAAAAACTTCACTTTTTCTATTAAAGGCAAGAATTTATGCAATTATTTTTAAAATACTGATTGAGTGCCTAGCATGTACCAGGCACTATTCTACACATTAAATAGAAAGCAGAGAACAAAACAGACAAAAATTCCTCACTTTGTGAACCTTATACTCTAGTGGAATCATGGAACTGCTTTTTTAATGGCATATAACACAATGTTTAAAGCTTCAAAGTCAAAAGTACACTAATGGGTTTTTCTGAGCTACAATTGCCAGATTCCAGGATTTATACATCAGAAAACAGTAAGATGGGATAGAGATGATTGTTTATTGCTCACAAACTATAAAACTGTGTAGTACAATAATCACATCCACATTTAAAATGCTTATTTTCCCCTCTTGTTGAAAATGGGGCTTACTTTTGGGAAATCAACATAAAAGTTGTACTTTTTAAAAAACTTTACTGCTGAAGAAGAAATATTAAATTCTAAAGTATGAATGTCCTGAAATGCTCATCAATCTATTATCAGATAAATATCTGAATAAAATTTGACATTCCCCCAAAATATACTCATGAGACAATAAATAGGTTTGGGGAAGTCCCTTTTATAAATTCTAGCTTTACTTTGTAACCTAAAATTGTGATAGAAAGGAACTTGAGGTAAAAGGGATGAAAAACACAGTGTGGTATTATTAAAACCACTCTACTCTGCTGAGAACACTGGGATATCACTAACAAACTAACAAGCCCACATCATTCAAATAATTAAAACTTCATACCAGCCTTGTGGCTATTTATAGGGCTGCTTTTAATAAAAGAGATGTAAGGACCAACTTATACAACATCCCTTTTAATGCCCAATTTTCACTGATAGAAATTATTCCTTGTAGGCAATATCATTGTAATTTAATTCACTGTAATTTAAGACCAAAAGACACTACTAACTACAGGTAAAAAAAAAAAAAAAAAAAAAGAAAAGTAGTTAAGCTAATGGCTGAATTTAGTTGATCAGAAAAAAAAAAAAGAATATGAAGACCACCATTCCTCTAAAAATGCAAAATAAGAAATAGTTGATCCAAAAAGATAAAATAAAATAAAGTAAATAGTTGATCTATCCATTCTGTATTCAGCTGAGAATGTAACTGGTTACAGACAGTGCTTTCATATGCTTTGGAATTGTGATTTAACAATGCAATAGCCAGATAAACTCTACATCTGACAAATAATCAAATTATTTCTTTACATTCAAGAACTTATTAAAGTACTAAGTGTTTTAGCTTTATAAAGTGTTCATAATTCTCTGAATATCAGAAACATTTTAGGTATTTTTAAAGACTATCCTAACATTGTGTCAACAATCCAACTATTTAACAATATTTGCACAAAATATTATCACAGTTTAAATCATATATGAAAATGCATTTTAAAGAATAAAAAGTTGAAATAGAAAACACAAGAATGGAAGCTATTTTTAAAATTGTTTAGATTTCTGGAAAGTCCAAAGGGTTGTTACAAAAGCCAATCCCAAAAGTGAGTTAAAACATTACGCATTATGTATTTAAAAAAACTGGTGTTTTAAATCCTTCAAAGTCTTTGACATATATTTAGTGCATTTTAGTCTAGTTTAAAAACTTCAACTATAGGTACTTTTTCTCTCCAGATTACAGAGCCAGAGGAAAGTGTTAATGGGACAGCTTGGAAATCCCTATATATAAGGAAAATATAATACTTAAAATGTCAGATTTCCAATCCTGAAAGTTAAATGTGGCTAATAACTTTCCTAATACAATTTGGGGTAAATATTTTCACAGAAGTCCCTAGCATATACCTGATTGTCCTTTAGAGGGCCTAGTACTCTTTAAGGTAAATTCAGTCCCCATTTCATACTTAGTAACTACATTTCTCTTTCTCTTCTCTGCCAGGTAAATACTAATGAGAATGCCAATTGCAATCACTTTTGCTGTAGATACAGTACAACAGCCCTTCTAGAGAAAAGATGAACCAGCATATACAACACTATTAATTTTTTTTTTTTTTTGTAAATTCTCTAAAACAACTTCTCCACAAACTTTTCAACCCAGAATGAACTAGGGACACTGAAGAAAAAAACTAATGACCTTTATCTTTTTGTGTTCCATTATCCCTGTATCAATCAGAATCTTTTGGAAGAACTAAACTTAGTTTAAAATCTTTTGATAAAAAATAATAAAAGGCCAAGAGCGGTGGCTCATGCCTGTAATCCCAGCACTTTGGGAAGCTGAGGCAGATGATCACCTGAGGTCAGGAGTTCGAGACCAGCCTGGCCAACATGGTAAACCCTGTCTCTACTAAAAACACAAAAAAATTAGCTAGGCATGATGGCGCGCATCTGTAATCCTGAGCTACTTGGGAGGCTGAGGCAGGAGAATCACTTGAACCTAGGAGGTGGAGGTTGCAGTTAGCTGAGACTGCACGACCGCACTCCAGCCTGGGCAACAAGATCAAAACTATGTCTCAAAAGAAAGAAAGAAAAAAGAAAAGAAAAGAAAAAGTAACTCATAAGCAACATGGATATAAATTGAAAACGTTTAGAAAAAAGCAAGTTCTGACTATGCTAGCAAATTTCTAAAAACATAGGATCAAGTTTTATTATACCAGAATCTAAAGCATTTGAGTCTAATTTAATAAAACCTAACAAAACCCCCAAACCCTATGTAGTTATTACCCTTTTTAAAATGCAGATACACAATACAAAACAAACAAAAAAGCCAAACTGTTTTTATGTAAGTCACTTAACCAAGTCTGAAATTCTAAAATAGAAATTTGTACTTCTTCCTGGAGTTTTCTCTCCAGAGCATACAGGTACCTCCAACAGTGACATGGCCCTTTTTTATACTGGTAGAGAATTTTTAGTTTCAAACTCCAAAATGTTCTGGAGAATTAAAAAAAAAAAAAATTTAAACTCAGTTGACAATCAAATCCTGACTTGAAGGAGGCGATTTAGAGACTTTATCAAACTTACTGTGAATATTCATATGTTTTGTTGCAGAAATATTAATATGTTTGATTATGTAGTACCACCCCAGAGCCTATGGGGGAAGGATATGGTACATATGATCTTTAACAACATATTTTACAAATCTAAAAATTCTATATTTCAAAATATTTTTGGCCTCCAGGGGTTTCAGATAAAAGATTGTGAATCTATGTTTTCTATGTCTTACCTATGTGTAAACTCACTGTTGTTCTGCCAGTTATTTGTTTTTTATCTTTTATGACATAGTTTTATGGTATAGTTTCTAAGACCAATATAAAATTTATTTTTAGGCTGGGTGTGGTGACTCACGCCTGCAATCCGAGCACTTTGGGAGGCCGAGGCAGGTGGATCACTTGAGGTCAAGAGTTTGAGACCAACAGACCCCAGTGTGTAGTGCTCCCCTCCCTGTGTCCATGTGTTCTCATTGTTCAACACCCGCCTATGAGTGAGAACATGTGGTGTCTGATTTTCTGCTCTTTTATCAGTTTGCTGAGAATGATGGTTTCCAGGTTCACATGGGAAGAAATGCCAGATATAGGTGAAGGGGAGGAAGGCAGCAAATCTCGCTGCCATGTGTGTACCTATGCAACAATCTTGAATGTTCTTCACATGTACCCCAAAACCTAAAATGCAATAAAAAATTTTAAAAAATAAAAAAATAAACAAACATACAAAAAAGAAAGAGCTCGAGACCAGCCTGGACAACATGGTGAAACCCAATCTCTACTAAAAATACAAAAATCAGCTAGGTGTGGTGGCAGGCTCCTGTAATCCCAGTTACTCGCAAGGCCAAGGCAGGAGAATTGCTTGAACCAGGGAGGTGGAGGTTGCAGTGAGCCGAGATCACGCCACTGCATTCCAGCCTGTGTGACAGAGCAAGACTCTGTCTTAAAAAAAATAATAATAATACATAAAATTTATTTGTAAATAATTGCCCAAACTACATTATATAAGCGCCTAATGCATATAAGACATGTATTTACATTCATATTAAAATACACAAAAAATCAGTTTTAATAAACTAATATGCTATGCAAATAAACTAATGAAACAAGGTTGATACCCTAAATTTATGCAACAAAAATTGGTTCTTTATGCTAATTTCTCTAGTAGCTAGTGAATGCACTCTAAAAACAGAGATTGTAGTAGTAAAAGTACTTTCAGAACCAGGTAGCTTGTATTTAAGTGGTAGCAAAAATTCCCTACCTAAATTACTTACCCCATTTCCTGTTTTACCAGCAACCATGCAGCATGCTGTAGGCAATTTAGTCACACCCAGAAAGAGAAAAGGAGGAAACATGAAATTAAGTCTCTATATCATTACTGAAGTGCTTAACTAATTTTCTAATCAAACTCCCGTTTTTAGGGGATGAGTTAGTATTCAGAAATTTACCAGTGACCTCAGTCTCATTTAAAATCAGAAATGCGGTAAGATTTTACTATGGCCTAAGAATTCAACAGGGGTATCCCTCTCCTCCCTACAGATTTCTATTTCTCGTTAATGAGGCATGAGTGTTTCTTTTTCTTCTTTTTCTTTTTTTGAGATGGAGTCTTACTCTGTTGCCCAAGCTGGAGCACAGTGGCAGGATCTCAGCTCATTGCAACATCGCTTCCTAGGTTCAAGTGATTCTCCTCCTTCACTCTCCCAAGTAGCTGGAATTACAGGTGCCCACCACCACGCTGAGCTAATTTTTGTACTCTTTTTTTTGAAGACGGAGGAGTCTCATTTGGTCGCCCAGGCTGGAGTGCAATGGTGTGATCTCGGCTCACTGCAACCTCCGCCTTCCGCGTTCAAGCAATTCTCCTGCCTCAGCCTTCTGAGTAGCTAAGGACTATAGACACGCACCACCACACCCAGCTAATTTTTGTGTTTTTTTTTTTTTAGTAAAGACGGGGTTTTGCTATGTTGGTCAAGCTGGTGTCAAACTCCTGACCTCGTGATCCGCCCGCCTCAGCCTTCCAAAGTGTGGAGATTACAGGTGTGAGCCACCATGCCAGGCAATTTTATTTTTTGTAGTAACAGGGTTTCGCCATGTTGGCCAGGCTGGTCTCTGAATTCCTGACCTCAAGTGATCCACCTGCCATGGCCTCCCAAAGTGCTAGGATTACCTGCGTGAACCACTGCGCCTGGCCCGGATTAAATGAAATTTATGCCAAATGCTTTGCATAGTAAGTGACTGACACTGAGATTTCTGTTTCCTGTTAGACTCCCACAGCTTCACCTTAAAGAAAGGTAATGGTATGTCCCCCACAGCACACAGCATTTTGTAAACATGACAAACATTGTATAAGTCAGTAAAATACCATATGTAGTTTCTGTGTGTCACAAAAAGAGGTCAAAGATTATCACTCACATCCACTTCAAGACACGGCTTAATTTATGTATATGCTGTAGAGCCCTGTCCTTCTAAACTAACAGGACTTCCTTCAAGTGAACAGCAGGGCACTCTATAGACTCCTAAAGACTGATGATCACTTGGAAAGATTAGCTGCATTAATTCTTTGAGACGTGAGCCAAGTAGAATAAATTAATTGCTAGCTAGGCACAACTTGTTCCCAGTGATGGCAGCGTGGGCCGTCCAGAGTGGCCGCTGCCATCATGCCTGCTGCAGTTGGGAATTGTGGGCGGTAGCAGCAGGAGGGGTTGTAGGAACAGCAGTGGCGGCGGTGGGACCCCTGCCCTCCATGTCCCCAAGGCAGCCGACGGTGCCACCTCTGCCCTCGCATGGCAGACCAGGACCTGCTCTCAGTCCCAAAACCTTCGTCCCGGGCTCAACCTCACTCCTCAATGCATCTCAGGAGCCCACTAGCACCCAGCCGAGCGCACAGCCAGGACTTGTGGTGCCGGTCCTGAGAGTGTGGGGTTCCTTTGTGTGGGGTTGGCTGGCGCCGTGCCTCTGCTATGGGGAAAACATGAAGAGGCAGGCAGTCCCCAGAGTTCCACTCAAATTGCGGCTGCACTGAGGCATCTCTGCACTCTCACATCTCTACACATCTCACCCACCTGAGGCCGGGAGTTCAAGACCAGCCTGACCAACATGGAGAAACCCTTTCTCTACTAAGGCTACAAAATTATCCAGGCATGGTGGCACATGCCTGTAATCCCAGCTACTCGGGAGGCTAAGGCAGGAGTCACTTGAACCTGGGAGGCAAAAGTTGCAGTGAGCCGAGATCGGGCTATTGCACTCCAGCCTGGGCAACAAGAGCAAAACTGTGTCTCAAAAAAAAAAAAAAAAAAAAAAAAAAAAAAAAAAAACAGGCTCTGCTTCTATTGTGTGATCACTAGCAAGGTGGCTTCTCTCTCTGGGTTTCTCAAACCACAAGATAAAGGTATTCAATTTATTTAGGGGGTACTGCCTATGTGGTGAGATTGAAACTGAGAAAGCAGAGATAAAATCAGTCTCTACCCATGAGCAAACCCATGAACCAAGGGAAAATGACAATAAATATTAATTTATTAATAACTAGTAACACTAATGAAAATAATTAAAATACAGAGTGGTGGGGGCTGAGACAGAGATACACTTAGGAAGGGTATGTAAAGAATCCTTAGCTCAGTCTTGCAGAAGTGACACCTAATCTGAGCTTCAAAGGATCAGCTACTTATAATTCACAGGGTAGGCCAGGTGTGGTGGCTCACATCTGTAATCCCAGCACTTTGGGAGGCTGAGACAGGTGGATCACCTGAGGTCAGAAGTTCGAGACCAGCCTGGACAACATAGTGAAACCCCATCTCTACTAAAAATACAAAAATTAGCTGGGCATGGTGGCACACACCTGTAATCCCAAGTACTAGGGAGGCTGAGGCAAGAGAATAATTTGAACCTGGGAGGAGGAGGTTGCAATGAGCTGAGATTGCACCACTGTTCTCCAGCCTGGGCAACAGAGCAAGACTTCATCTAAAAAAAAAAAAAAAAGAATTCACAGGGTAAAGAAATGTGGAAAGTGGCCGGGCGCGGTGGCTCAAGCCTGTAATCCCAGCACTTTGGGAGGCCGAGGTGGGTGGATCACAAGGTCAAGAGATCGAGACCATCCTGGTCAACATGGTGAAACCCCGTCTCTACTAAAAATACAAAAAATTAGCTGGGCGTGGTGGCGCGTGCCTGTAATCCCAGCTACTCAGGAGGCTGAGGCAGGAGAATTGCCTGAACCCAGGAGGCGGAGGTTGCGGTGAGCCGAGATTGCGCCATTGCACTCCAGCCTGGGTAATAAGAGCGAAACTCCGTCTCAAAAAAAGAAAAGAAAAAAAAAGAAATGTGGAAAGTATGTTGCAAACAGAGGACACCTTAAGGTGCAAATGCCAGAGAGCACTGCGAAGGTTCTGAGGACTATGTCAGTGGTCTCCAAAAAGCTGAGGATGTGTGGCTGGGAAATGCAAAGGAGGAAGCAGGATTTAGGTCACAGAACCATTGTAACCATACTAAGGGATTTAGACATTCCCCTTAAGGAATATGGTGCCACAGAAGAACTTTAAGGAATGAAGTATATTTGTCTTCAGAATTGCTCACTGTGGTTGCATTATGAATTCAAAGAAAAATATGGGAATTAAAGAAAATGAAGATTTTTGGTCAACTAAAGAAAAAATACGGCAATGCTAGTGAGGATAAAGGGTAAGCAGCTTTAAGAAGTACTGAAGACACAAATTGGCAGGACTTGCTAATTGGCAGTGATGTTGAGGTTTCTAAATCACCACCAATGCCCTTCAAACTATATTCTTTTGAATCTTACACATCTCTTGGACTCATTTATAATAACAAAGATAATACAAATATAGACTGAGAATAATGACATAGAAAAATAACAGTAGTTGTGCGGGCAGCTGGAGGCATTTAGCAGTAATCCTGCTCCAAACTCTTCTCCCAACACATACACAAACACATACACATACATACATACATTTATGTATTTTTTTTCTTGCATACTAATGGCCATTTGGGAACTGGCCTCAATAAGGAGGTTAGTAACAAGAGAAACCTCTTCCTTCTCTCCATCCAGACCACCGCCTAAGATTTCCTCCTTTTTCCCCTCCCCATCCCCAGCCTGCTATTACCTTAAACTTCTGCCCCATCAGGGCCTGTGCCTCACCGTGTGTAAGGGTTGTGGCAGCATTATATAACCTTGAACATCTGCCTCTCCAGGGCCTGCCCCTCACCTTGTGCCTGAGGCTTGGTGGCAGAAAGAGGAAGGTAAGAGAAAGGGAAAATATTTTCCTATAATCACTGCTTGATACACCACTTAGCTGACTCCTGCACCACCACCATCTCGCCTCCACCACTTCCCATCTCAATCCTACTTTCTTCTTTTCCCCAAAGCATTGGATGTCAGACCTGTGATTAAATGAATGTAGCAGACTGAATCTGGATGTCTCCTCTGATGAATAAAACTTATGTTAGCCATGTTAAAAAAAAAAGCCATCAAAATTCTTTTTCCCTACATGGTTGAGAAAAGAGAAAATGAAGTGAGACATAAGAAGAGACCATTTAACTCTAGGTTTTCTCTCTACTTTGGCATTAAAAACTTTTAGATAGCATTTAAAAGGTTGAAGAGCTTCTTCTGGGACAAGTCAACAGGGGAAAAGCAAGGACAGACCAGCAAAGATAGAATGAATCTGTGGGGCCAAATTAGATTGCACAGCTCTATTGCTCCAGTTCCTTGTATTGCTATTTTTATGTTGTGAGTTTTAAGGAAATTGCATTGCATCGTCCAACACTGTAGGTACTGATGTTTATTTAGCTCTGAAGGATTTCATTGGAAATAAGAAGAGGAAATTCTGCAAGTGGGGTGGTGTAGGAGTAGAGGCAGGGAGGGGGATCAGAAAAGACAGAACAGTTACAATAAAGAAAACGCTCCAGGACAGATAAATGAAGACAGATATGGCTCAGTCTTGACCTTTTAGTGTCATATGAAAATGAGAATACATATAGCAACTAAATTTCAGGTAACTCTAGAGTTAATAACATCAGTGAGGCAAGGATCTCAAACATCTGTTGGCAGCCGGGTGTGGCTGAGAAGTGCAAATGTACTTCCTGTTTGAATTTGATTTTAGAGAGCCAGCATCTTCACTGAAACTTTCATAGGGGCCAGGACTTTGTACAGTGAAGCCTCATTCTAAGGATACCTCTGAGTTCCTGCTTTGAGCACAATACAAGTTTCAAGAATCCAGCACAACCATCAGATGATAAGGGTGACCTGTGACAGCAGCTTCCCTAGAGGACCCGCCCCCCACCAACTCTTCTTGCCTGTCACTATGGAAC